AGCTGCCCGATTTAGTTCCCTATAAAGATTTGTGCACCCTTCTTGATCAGATCAGTACAACGGATAATATTCAACTCAAAAGTCCTTCAACTCTACTGAGAGCTATTCCAGTCAAAGATGAAAAATACAATAGCGGGAGAACGGAATCTTTCTCAACATTACAATATAAAAAATAAAACAGGGTTATTATTTCAGGCCTCAAAATTTCTGTACTAGATTTAAAACATCAACCTGTACATACAGGATACTTGAGTGTAACACTCCATATTATAAATAATGGTTGATTCATCAGGCCATGGAACAATCAGACAATGTAATACAATTGCGCTTTCCGATCTCGGAGAAACAGAAGGCTTCAGTAAACCTGGTACCAATGGCAAGTTATACGCTTTACACTTACAAGATAATGTATACAAGCAGAAAGAAGTTGCATTCACAGGTAATCTAGGAGATTTAAGCGATGTCGACGTTAGCACACTCAATAAAAACACTTCATACAATCTTACTCGCAACGATGATAATAAATGTACTATGATTGAAGCAAAAATCGAGTGGCTACTGAATATCGTCATTACCCCACCATATGTGATGATGGGTAAGGCACATAATTTAACTAAGATAATAAATAGTGGGATTGTACTCGCGGCTTATATCCCCTCAAAAAGAAAAAGTGTGTTAGTCTCTCCCCTGCCAGAAAACCCAGGTCATATGTTATTTAGTCGACCGGCAGTGAAAAACGTTAGTTTAAATTTGGTTACTGAATTCAATGATATTAAAGATAAATTGAGTGCAATACCTAATTTCTCTACACTTATTATTGAAGTCTTGTTTGGAGATGCACCAGAAGATGCCTTCGAAATATTACCAGGTCTATCGATTAAAGCATGAAGTATCTGAAAAGATGGATACTGTTGATGGATTTCGATTACATCAAATAAGCAACATAAAACATTGAATAGAGAAGGAGAGGGAGTTGAGACTTGGATTGTATAAAAAGTACTGCAGAGCCGTGAATGCTCTCGACGGAGTTGACACTGCGCTTGTAACGGCTAGCATGGAACTCGGTGTAGCCGGTGTTGGTTTATTATCAACTATAATCGCGGCGCCTATCGTACTTGGCATGGAAATAGCTGCCGGAGTCTCAGGACTGGCAGGAATAGCGATAAAATTTATTTGTCGTAAGTTGCAAAAGAAAGCATTAAAACATGATAATATTCGGATACTCGCCGAAGCAAAGTTGAACAGCATTGAGGATCATATTTCACTGGCTGATTGTAAGATATCCGAGGATGAGTTTCGTTTAGTGCTGTCAGAACTCACCAAATACAACGCGATGAAGCAGAAAATTCGATCAAATTCTCATAACACCAGTGGTATTTGCAAAGACGAGAAAAAAAAGTTCATAGAGCGGGGGAGACAACAAGCGCGTCAATTATTCCATGCCAAAACCAAAGAACTGGTTGGATATTAAAAATAGATTGCTTACTATCGTTGGATCAAATTCAAACGAATGCTTACATAAGTATATAATAATGGAGAATTACAAACCAAAAAAGGAAGAACTCGATAAAGCTATCAAAGCATTTATGCTCAGGGACAAAATTATCAAATGGAGAAAATTACCACAAGGTATATATTATATCAGTGATATCAAACCAACCAAATACGGTCATCAATTGTTTCTTTCCAATTACCAAGAAGAGTATATAGTCTGGTCTCCTAGTAAAATGAACGAAGAACTTAGTAAAAATGTTGAATATCACTTTGTTGAAAATAATGGTATACGTATGAGTAAAAATAATAGAGAATATTTTTATTACAATTTAGTTTAATGTCATGACGATCGTTGAATCGCATCATCGCTTGTGCATAAAAAAATCCATCTGTGGTAGCAGTATAGATATATAAATCTGGCTCCAGTGGACGTGGTCCAGAACCCCTATTACCTATACTACTTGCGAGAAATAACTCGTGGCGCATGCATTGGAATTGTAAGTGAGTGAATATTTGACTGCGTGGCTGTTTGTACTAGTCCAGACTGATGCCGATTTATAGTGAGTGAGTATGGTTTTACGCCGCTTTTAACAATATTCCAACTATATCACGGTGGGGAACACCAGAAATTGGGGTTCACACATTGTACCCATGTCGTGATTCGAACGTGGGTCTTCGGTGTGACGGGCGAACGCTTCAACCACTGGGCTACCCGACCGCCCCTCCGATTTACAATGCCCACTGAGATACCATGCTGCAGTTTAACATAAATACCTCACTCAGCCACAGTATTTTAATTCCGAGCCGACCAGTCCTTGTTTAGCTCCTTAATGCCGAGCGGCAGGCAGGGTTACAACAAGCACCCTTTTGGTATGACGAGCCCCGGACCTTCCGCTCATCGGGCGGACGCTCTACCACTAGACCAAGGAGGCGGTGTTACAATTTTATGATCTATGGATATGTTCTTGCCACTTCATTCCATATCAATATTCATCTCCTCCACACGTTGCACAGAAGTGATAAATAGTTCATATCTGTATCTCTTTCCTCCAACATTGAGCTCGCGCGCCAGAATCTAACTAATAAACTAAGAAACAGTTTCAAATCGACTCTAACCCACACTGACCCACTCGCTTCCTTTGAATATTTCATCACGATTTCAACAAGACTTTCGAGATGTTTATTCATCATCAGTTATTCTGAAAAGAAATAATCAATTCAATGTAATTGCTTCCCGAATGAATAAATGCATCTTTTTTAATGCATACACTTTTTTAATATACCAATATCATTTGCGTGATAGAAGCTGTTTGCTCATAGAGTGGCGACGTACATGCGGCCCACTGATTGCAAGGGCCAGCTTAACTTGGGTTCACGTACGCTTGCGTGTTAAATACCATAACCTCCTGTGTGATTTACTGTGACATTGATGAAGGTGAAACTTGACGGATCAGTCAAAAAAAGAAGAAGTTTGATACAATTCCCTATTTTCATGTCCCCGTGTCATTTTTCAGGTGTACAAATAACATGGATTTGCATTCGGATTCGCTGAACTGTTTGCGAACACACGGTTCATGGCATAGTCAGAATCGTACAACCGACTCTGTTTTAATATATATTTCTTGTGAAGATGGAAAGGATAAGTCGTTTCTATTGTTTTGAGGACTGTTGACTTTGGACTGTGGTCTGATGATATTCACAGTAATGAGTTTGGGTAAACTATGATGTGTCAACAGTTTCCACCAGGAAATGAAGACGCTAATGTTTTAGCTATAGTGAATCTGTCACATGTGGCGACGAAAAATAATATTGAAAAAAATAGTTAAAAATGTAAATCCATGTTGTACTTGACACATTGATTGTGTGTAGACCTGCATTCCTTTGTATCAACACACAAATGAGGGTATACGTATTCTGACCATTAAAGCCGAGCGCCGGATAGGGAAACACGAAGTACTCTCTTTTTACGTCTTTTGGAATGACGCTCTCATTTCCGGTCTCGTTTTATAACCACGGAAACAGAAAGAACTATTCGTGAGCAATTTAACCCCAATAGCAGTTTCTTCGAGGGCGTTGCTAATGCTAATGCCCCTCTATAATATTCCAGCATGGCGATCCAATCCTGGTTTCCCAACAACCGAAGCCTGATGGGGCAACATAGCGGGTTGGGTGATGAGGCTCGGTGACGTGGTTCATTGCGTGCCATCATGTCCAAAAGTCGTGGGGCGTTCCTCAACATCTCAGTCACTGGTTTGTCTGATCAAGACTCAGCTATTTGTAAATATTGATAAGTGCAGAGCTAAACAACAAAACGAAATCCAACTGTTATGTTAGTTAGTTGGTATTGTAATGTACAGGGGCTGGGCCTTCGTTGGGAATGGGTTGGCTCCTCATGTTGAACGCCCGTGTTCGTTTTACCACATGGGTAAAGTGTGTGAAGCCTCTTCTGGTTTGCCCCGCCGTGGTAATGCTGGCATGTTGCCAAAGGTGTGGTATGTTGTATACAATGGAACAAATATATGTCAGATACACTTCATTGGTATTGTGCGTTATAAGAGTTGGGTTAAACGCCGCTTTTAACAGTATTACAGTTATATCGCGGCGTGTCAGTTTGGTGTCGGAGGAAAGCCCAAAGTGATGCAGGTCTCATAATCAGGCGTTTACCATTTCGGTGAAACCCACGAGCACGGGTATAGAAACATAATCGGGGGTTGCAGCGAGTGAGTGCGTTAAAATATAACGTCGCATCGGCATTGTTTCAGCCATATAGTTTATATATTCACAAGTTAGTTATTTAAAAAACAAATTTGATCAACCATATTTGGGCATAACAATATGGGCAATAACCAAATGGTGTTTGTTTGTAACATATGGGTAATATTATGTGAGGAATAGATACGTTGTAAAGATACAAGTCCAGCACATGTGTTGAGTGCCATCTTCTTCATAGAGACACACCATTCGTCATCACTCGCCCCTTACCGTAACCTGCAACAAGACTCGTCCACTATCGTTGATTGTTATGTGCGAAAATATGACAAATCAGTCAGATTCCGCGTATGACTTCAAGTACTTCGGTCAAAGAATCCCTCATGAATAATTTTTCATTTTACACGTCTTGCATTTAAGTATATACCAACGATACAGTTATATGTGTTCAATCATTCTGTAGAATACTGTAAGTCCCGATGTGTTTTCAATAGCATCTGGATATATAGGGAAATATACATGAATCATTAGTTGACAATTCTTTTAGCTATACCCGTTTGCGCTTCGGCTCTACCCAGTCGCAAAATGGCCACGAGAGGTTCACGAGTCGCTATTCGCTTGTCTCGGAAAAACACCAGTCGGTCACGAATGAGAGACACACTAAGAGCCACGTGATCATAACAGTTTACCCTAGATGAAGCCCAGATCCTCTTTATTTCCTTGTTTCGACCTCGAAACAAGGACATATAATGATCACAAATTACGCTTCTTCTCAATAGACCAAGTGAAAGCTGATCCACCACACACAGGGAAAGGACATTGTGAGTAATGGTTCATCAGTTGTATCAGCCTTTCAATGCAACTCAAGTTATGGACTTCGCTCACCTTCTTGCGAAAACCTGGTATTATCACTAATTGACAGTGATTCGGTGCCGCACAATGGAATATCTCTAAATTACCATCTCAGTGAATTAACGCAATTTGTAGTTTGCACCCTGGGGTGAGTTTGTGAATTTTAACATGTTTTTGTTTCTTGTAACACACTGAAAATGTCTCTTGTTAAATATGTTAAGAATATCATTCTTGTATTTATTCTCTCGTCATCTTGTAGGGTGAATGTCGTGTACATCAATTGCAAATATACGTTCTAAGCCATTTCTTTAATCAAAACGTCCATTTTACCATTTTGACTATTTTATGAGCATGTGTCTATCACTATCCATCTTTTCGTGAAACCAAGCATCGACACTTTTTAATAGTGATTCACAAATACATGCTTTCACTATATATTTGGCTAAGAAATGTTTTACTAGATATTTCTTAAAAGTATAAGTGGGTTTTCTTGCTTTTATGCAATGCTGCTATTATTTAAAAATGTTCATTCCAAACCATTTCAATAAATTAATGCAATCTCTTGGATTTCCAAAATAAAATGGGTTTTATTGCTTTTATGCAATGCTCCTATTTTTTAATAATCATTCCAAACAGTTTTCGGAATACATGATGTGATTCAGTGCTTTACTTCTAAAATACCATTTCAAGAAATTAATGCAATCTCTTGGGTTTCCAAAATAAAATGGGTTTTATTGCTTTTATGCAATGCTGCTTTTTTTAAATGAACATTCCAAACAGTTTTCGGAATATATTATGTGATTCAGTGCTTTATTACTAAAGTACCATTTCAATAAATTATTGCAATCTCTTGGGTTTCCAAAATAAAATGGGTTTTACTGCTTTACTCCTATTTTTTAAATGAACATTCCAAACAGTTTTCGGAATACATGATGTGATTCAGTGCTTTACTACTAAAATGCCGTTTCAATAAATTAATGCAATCTCATAGGCCCTGGGTTTGATTTCCTAAAACAGATGTCCTGTGGCACATGTTTCAATCTTTGAGTTTAGCATTTGTTTGTTTCACAGTAACACACTAGAATGTTCTCTTTTTAGATATGTTAAGAATCGCATTCTCTTGTTTATTCTCTATTCATCATTAAAGGTTTATATAGGGTACTTCAATTTTAAATAAAAACAGATTTTTACAGGTTTTACTGCCTTTATGCAAAGCTCCTATTTTTTAAAATGAACATTCCAAACAGTTTTCGGAATATATGATATGACTCAGTGCTTTACTACTAAAATACCATTTCAATGAATTAATGCTATCTCTTGGGTTTCGAAAATAAAATGGGTTTTACTGCTTTACGCCTATTTTTTAATGATCATTCAAAATAATTTCGGAATATATGATGTGATTCAGTGCTTTAATACTAAAATACCGTTTCAAGAAATTAATGCAATCTCTTGGGTTTCCAAAATAAAATGGGTTTTACTGCTTTACTCCTATTTTTTAAATGAACATTCCAAACAGTTTTCGGAATATATGATGTGATTCAGTGCTTTACTTCTAAAACACCACTTCAATAAATTAATGCAATCTCTTAGGCCCTGGGTTTGATTTCCTAAAACTGGTGTCCTGTGGCACATGTTTCAATCTTTGAGTTTAGCATTTGTTTGTTTCACAGTAACACACTAGAATGTTCTCTTTTTAGATATGTTAAGAATCGCATTCTCTTGTTTATTCTCTATTCCTCATTAAAGGTTTATATAGGGTACTTCAATTTTAAATAAAAACAGATTTTTTACAGGTTTTACTGCTTTTATATGCAATGCTCCTATTTTTTAATGATCATTCCAAACAGTTTGCGGAATATATGATGTGATTCAGTGCTTTACTTCTAAAATACCATTTCAAGAAATTAATGCAATCCCTTTGGTTTTCAAAATAAAATGGGTTTTATTGCTTTTATGCATATGCTGTTTTTTCTAAATGAACATTCCAAACAGTTTTCGGAATATATGATGTGATTCAGTGCTTTACTTCTAAAATACCATTTCAAGAAATTAATGCAATCCCTTTGGTTTTCAAAATAAAATGGGTTTTATTGCTTTTATGCATATGCTGCTTTTTCTAAATGAACATTCCAAACAGTTTTCGGAATATATGATGTGATTCAGTGCTTTACTACTAAATACCATTTCAAGAAATTAATGCAATCTCTTAGGCCCTGTGTTAGATTTCCTAAAACAGGTGTCCTGTGGCACATGTTTCAATCTTTGAGTTTAGCATATGTTTGTTTCACAGTAAACCACTAGAATTTTCTCTTTTTAGATATGTTAAGAATTGAATTCTTTTGTTTATTCTCTATTCATTATTAAAGGTTTATGTAGGATACTTCAATTTTAAATAAAAACAGATTTCTTACAGGTTTTATTGCTTTTATATGCAATGCTGTTTTTTTTCTAAATTATATTCCAAACAGTTTTCGGAATACATGATGTGATTCAGTGCTTTACTACTTAAATACCATTTCAATAAACTATTGCAATCTCTTGGGTTTCCAAAATAAAACGGGTTTTATTGCAATTATGCAATGCTGCTTTTTTAAATGAACATTCCAAACAGTTTTCGGAATATATGATGTGATTCAGTGCTTTATTACTAAAATACCATTTCAATAAATTAATGCAATCTCTTAGGCCCCGGGTTAGATTTCCTAAAACAGGTGTCCTGTGGCACATGTTTCAATCTTTGAGTTTAAGCATTTGTTTGTTTCACAGTAACACACTAGAATTTTCTCTTTTTAGATATGTTAAGAATTGAATTCTTTTGTTTATTCTTTATTCATTATTAAAGGTTTATGCGGGATACTTCAATTGTAAATAAAAACAGATTCTTTTCCATAAACAAAAGAATCAACTCTCCAAAGTCCATTGTACGATTCCGACTCTATCATAAGCACGTGTCTATAAATCTCTAGCAAATAAACTGACGTCCAAAAGAAACTTTACCAGAGTTTGAAATCACTCTTGCTCAAAATCAACAAAACATACATGCATGAAGTAAAGTGTATTGAGAAGATCAATATATCAACATAATCAACACTGAAAATGACAATCATACCGCGACCGAGAATGACGTCAGAGCCCCACAAAGTTGGGTGTGGTACAAAACTCGAGCTTTCAGGCAGGGTACATAAACAATCAATCACGTTAAATAACAAGTCATTAGTAGCGTGTGTGGCCACCAAATGCCTCAATACATGCAAAAAACTCTTTGACGCACAGAAAAAGTCAGTCGTCTGATGAGGTCACGTGGGATTTAACGTCATTCTTCTTGGAGGGCCAAGATCAGTTCTTACCGGTTGGCTGGAGAGTGTGGTCGTTGTCGAACACGACGATCCATCAAGTCCCAGAGGTGTTCTATGGGGGACATGTCGGGTGAGCATGCAGGCCACGGCAGGGCGTTGACGTTGTTGACTGCGACAATTCTGGCTGTATTGGCTCTAGCGTTGTCATGCTGATAAATGACAACACGTGGCTGTTGTTGGAAAAATGGTAGGACAACTGGACGAAGTCAAGTTTCCGTCAACGATGACCAGCGGTGTCCTCTCCTGCCCACAGATCCCTCCCCACACCATGACACTCCCTCCACCATATGGTACGACCTCCTGCACGCAACACGCCGCCGTTCGTTCACCCCTTCGGCGGTAAACACGTTGTCTTCCATCAGCCCTAAACATACAGAATCGACTTTCGTCAGTGAAGACAACCCTCTGCCAGTCACGTCGTTGCCAACGTCGTACAGTCCGGGCCCATCTCAATCGCAGACGACGATGTTGCGCTGTCAATAGCTGTCCTCTGTATGGTCTAAAAGCCCTGATTCCATGAGCCCTGAGTCTCCTGGCCACTGTCTGTCGACTAACCCTGTGACCTAAGGCATTTGTCGCCGATGACGTCACTGTCAGGAAGCGATTTCGGAGGTGCAAGGTACGCAAGAACCGGTCATCATGGGGCGTGGTCACCCTGGGTCTGCCTGTTCTTGGCCTGTAAGCGGTCCGCCCTGTCTGTCTGTAACGTTGCATCAAGTTGGAAACGGCAACACGGGAGCAACCGAAGGTTCGTGCAATATGGGCGTGGGTGGCACAAGTCTGTACCATACCCAAGGCTCGTTCGAGTTGTTCGACTGTGAGTCGTGGCATTTCTTTTGTGTTTTTTTATCACTGTGGATGTCTGACTTGCCGTTGCAATCGTTTTATACCCTTACCCGCACGTGCATTTGCAGTTGTCCGTGGTGCACGTGTTTTTCACTTTTACGCGTGTTATCTCGCAAAAATGTAACAGACGATTAACATTTTCTGCATACACTATTGTTGTATTTAGGTTATGTGTTTTAGATAGACTTCATCGAAAAAAAATTTATACTTTGTCTGAAATTTATATTTTCAGTTGGTAAACTTTCTTTTTTGACGTCAGTTTAGTTACGATGCAAGGTGTTTGCAAAACGGTGAGCGTTTCCTGCCCCAACGGTTCCACCCGTCACAAAGAAATGGAAGTAGATTGTTCGCCGGGAAAAAACCACGGGGACATATGGCACAAGTATAATTGGGAATTGCATCCGACATCAATAGTTTTTCACTGACAGCACTACTGAGGCTTTGGATGATGTAAACCTGTTTAAACAACAGTAAACATTGCTAAATCATTGATGAAAGTGTTTCAGACATTAACCTGCAATAGCTCATTCACGCTGCATGATTTACTTGAACATTTCATACATAAAAACAATCAACGTCTTAAGACATTTTACGTTTTGACTCTTGTACCCCAACTGAGTGACCGAATTGAACATAATTTAAGTTTTTTTTCGGTGATACAGACTACTGTTGTGGGAGAACCCAACTGAAGCAAGTCGGAACCATGTATATGGTAACGAACCAAGAAATGCGATTCAGCTTACATTTCATTTGTCATTGTTATGATAGTGGTGTCAATAGTTTCAGGTAAAGATCGTTTGTCTATTGAAGATTGCATACTGGTATGGAGACATTTATCCCTTTTCACAATAAATGTGTGCTTAAGAAGGAGGGAAATTATATATTTACAGGAGACACTTTAATTCGATCTCATACAGTTCTCTTTGTTTTCACCAGACGATGGTACCTCTCAGGCAAATTTCTGAATGGACTCTACTTCTTCTGATGACGATTTATGAATCTGTCGGTATGTTATTTCGGTGTTTTGTTTATACACATAACAATGTTCTGATTCAGCTAGTATGTTATATCTGTGTTATATCCATACTCCAAATCATATACTGATTCATAGATCAACTGGCATGTTAATTTATCAGTATCAATTAAATCAATACTAATGTATTATGTTACACAATTACAGTTAGTACAATTAATAATGAACCTACACATCTTTATGAAGATCATATTTACGCCAAAAGGTTCGCCAGAACTGATCTGTCCGGATGTCGGATATCTTGGTTCTCCTGCTCATCTGACGTGCATCTCACCAAGAAATATAACTTCACATGGCTATGTGGCATCGCAAGGTGAAGTTGCCGCTATCTGCAGTGTATCAAGCTCATCATGTACAACAATAGGCAACTACATGGCGTCTACCATCAACCAGACACACAGTCGCCTCACCATACCTGCAGTACAGCAAACACATGCAGGGCAGTGGAAGTGTACTATCCTACCTTCGTCTCCACTCTCCTGCAACTTAAATGTTGTGAGTAAGTACCCTAAGATAAGACACATGGATGTGAAGTCAACACCCGTAACTATAGACCCTATTCCATCACTCAGTGTGGGGGCGGTCGGGTAGCCTAGTGGTTAAAGCGTTCGCTCGTCACGCCGAAGACCCGGGTTCGATTCCCGACATGGGTACAATGTGTGAAGCCCATTTCTGGTGTCCCCCGCCGTGATATTGCTGGAATATTGCTAAAAGCGGCGTAAAACCATACTCACTCACTCACTCACTCACTCAGTGTGGATGTATGCTGTTCAACAATGGCGAACACTATCCCGTAACATGTTGCTGGTACATGTAGAGATAGCAAAATGAATGTTATTCACATGGGCGTATTGCAAGGGAGTCTGTATTGTGCTATCAACATTATAAGTGTTAACAACAGCAATTAAGGTTGTACTTGGACACACGTGAACTAGTACAGAAAGAACAGTTATGTTTTTCAAGAAATTTACAAGTTTGACGTATCAGTAACCAACAACATGTTTGATGCGATTCCCTGTTTTCACAGTGTTTGTACAGGAGAACAATTGACGTGCCTTTGTATGTATTTGGGACGGGTGTAACCGGGGAGACACGCTTACTTTTTTCCAAACACCTGGCACCATTACTGTTTGATAGTGCTTCGTATACACAAGCTCATGACATAGTCCGAACCATGCAATAAACACGGTTTAAGGTTTCTTATGATCATGGAAAGAGATTTGCCAACTTGCCTCAACATCATATTGTCATGCCACTAAATGAAGGAGTACTATCAAGTGGGGACATGGTTGACAAGATGTCATATATACTTTATACTGATAATTCCATTGTACTTGATATTTACTTATGATATATATTGAAACTATTCTTGTCAGTGATGAAAGGAAAACATCTCACGTTGAAGGTCCTTTCGGCTGAATGTCGGATCTAAATTGTGGAGACTATTTGTAATGCGACTTTGTGTTTCAGAACTCCCGACCTGCTTCATAACAAGCGATGCCGACATCACGACGCTCGACGTTGGCGAGGAGCGGTCTCTGACAGTACACATCAAGGGGTATTACTGTTCTGAGCTGGTTCAGCTGAACGTATCCACGGGAAGAACTGATCACGAATACCCCAATGAAACAGTCACTAATATAACAGATAAAACAGTTAACATCACAATCAACAAGACCAACTCCACCTTCGAGGCGGAACTGGTCTTCACCTGCGGCGGCCATAGCTCGACTCAACCTTGTAATGTAACCAACGGTGAGTACAATGGGAAAGAGGCAGTATTCAAATGTTTAAAGCATATTTCTCAGCATAAACAACGCATGTAAAGAGTTCCGTTTCAAGTAAAGTGACTTCAATGTTTGAAAAAACTTATGAATTAAAACCATGTGTAAATCTGGGTTGTGGAGTACGCCAAGCGTTTCCCTTTTTGTAAGTTTTATAATGTCAATAACAACACGACAACATATAAAAGAACAACATTTATTAAAAAATTTTGCATATGGGGATTCTCGGTATATACATATATACATGACACATAAACATAGTACATGGAAGACTTACTTCAGCCAAGTCTCTAATATCGGAGTAGCGCACTCCATACTGTTTGAGCGTACTGAGACTTGGCTGAGTATACGAACAATGGACGGTGAAGAAATATACCCGATCGGCGGGCTGTACCTCTGCCAAGTAATACAAGTAGGAGTCGCGCACCCCAAGACTTGCTCCCGAGCGCCAGGAGTACCTGGCAGAGTAGACGAATGATGAAAAAACAAAAAAGAGATGAATGTTAAATTACTTGCAGGGGGAATAGTATCCGCCTGAATTGCCCTCTGATAGAGCGGATAGATTGCCCATATTATTATTAATGATAATTGTGAAATTGAGTTGATGAGAATCCCGGATTACTTAATCGCTTCAAAGCTCCAGGATTGCTCATGAGATCTGTCAGAATATAAATGAGAAGGTAGTGATGAGTCAATGCTAAAACAAAAGGTGTATGAATCTATGTAGTGATTGCAGCTTATATTGCAGAAATACACTAAGGTGGTGGTGAGGGAGGTGGTGGGTTCAGTCAAGATCCGACCATTACGAAACGCGCTTGATTGAACCATGTGTTGTGAGCTGAACAAAGGAATTGCTGACAGCTGACTGCGCATGCGCTAAGGCATGATTAAGTTTGGGCGTGTGAGAGAAACGGAATATGATTGTGAATTGCTCGGGTTCCCAAGCCGACTTAACTACAAATAAACACCCATTGGAGTATATTACCTGATGACTAACAGTCACATCTGTATAGCACAGGTTAGCTTGTTGAATTAAACATTCGTAATGGACAATAAAAAATATAGAAAATTATCATATGGTATGGTGCATGTAATGCATAACATTCGATGACGTAACCCTTGCTATTGCCATTATAAACTCAACTCAATACCTAAGTAATAATTTATAATGTCAATAACAACACGACAACATATAAAAGAACAACATTTATTACATTTTTTGGCATATGGGGATTCTCGGTATATACATATATACATGACACATAAACATAGTACATGGAAGACTTACTTCAGCCAACTCTCTAATATCGGAGTAGCGCACTCCATACTGTTTGAGCGTACTGAGACTTCTGATAGAGCGGATAGATTGCCCATATTATTATTAATGATAATTGTGAAATTGAGTTGATGAGAATCCCGGATTACTTAATCGCTTCAAAGCTCCAGGATTGCTCATGAGATCTGTCAGAATATAAATGAGAAGGTAGTGATGAGTCAATGCTAAAACAAAAGGTGTATGAATCTATGTAGTGATTGCAGCTTATATTGCAGAAATACACTAAGGTGGTGGTGAGGGAGGTGGTGGGTTCAGTCAAGATCCGACCATTACGAAACGCGCTTGATTGAACCATGTGTTGTGAGCTGAACAAAGGAATTGCTGACAGCTGACTGCGCATGCGCTAAGGCATGATTAAGTTTGGGCGTGTGAGAGAAACGGAATATGATTGTGAATTGCTCGGGTTCCCAAGCCGACTTAACTACAAATAAACACCCATTGGAGTATATTACCTGATGACTAACAGTCACATCTGTATAGCACAGGTTAGCTTGTTGAATTAAACATTCGTAATGGACAATAAAAATTATAGAAAATTATCATATGGTATGGTGCATGTAATGCATAACATTCGATGACGTAACCCTTGCTATTGCCATTATAAACTCAACTCAATACCTAAGTAATAATTTATAATGTCAATAACAACACGACAACATATAAAAGAACAACATTTATTACATTTTTTGGCATATGGGGATTCTCGGTATATACATATATACATGACACATAAACATAGTACATGGAAGACTTACTTCAGCCAAGTCTCTAATATCGGAGTAGCGCACTCCATACTGTTTGAGCGTACTGAGACTTGGCTGAGTATACGAACAATGGACGGTGAAGAAATATACCCGATCGGCGGGCTGTACCTCTGCCAAGTAATACAAGTAGGAGTCGCGCACCCCAAGACTTGCTCCCGAGCGCCAGGAGTACCTGGCAGAGTAGACGAATGATGAAAAAACAAAAAAGAGATGAATGTTAAATTACTTGCAGGGGGAATAGTATCCGCCTGAATTGCCCTCTGATAGAGCGGATAGATTGCCCATATTATTATTAATGATAATTGTGAAATTGAGTTGATGAGAATCCCCAAAAGTAATTAGGCCGTAAGACATAAACAAGAGAACATGATAAAAAGTTACAGAGTTCCAGTTTTGTTTAATCCTATTGGAGCTGGTCACTTCTGTGCCATCGCTATCTGAGCTTTACGTATGGAGACTTGGGACGTTCTGATATAACGAGTGTAACACGCTGAGGTCCATCTACCCAATGTCTGAATCATGTGATCGGGCACGCCTTTACTTGCAGCTGATGTTGCTGCTCCTATTCTGAATGAATGTCCGTTGTAGGCTTTGTCATCGTATCCAGCCATACTTAATAAGGTTTTGAGGCACTGAATAAAGAACTTCCTGGATAAGGCACTACCACTGGGTGACACAAACAAAGGGTCATGAGGGGAAGTTCCAGATTGTTTCCTGTGATACATGTAGGTCAGCATATTGTGTACTGGACAGATGGCAGTATTCATCCGATGTAGCACAATGTTCACACCTTTGCGAAATGGATCAGTTTTCCAAGATTATAAGGTGAGGGTAAGGGATGACAAATCGTTAGCAAACACCACTGAATTGAAACACAAATTGACATGCGGGCTGAATCTATCACACGTAAATTCCCCGCATCTGAGGAATGCGAAAAAGGCCAGGCAACACACTGCTTTCAGCATAATATTGAGTGAGGAGGTGAAGACACCTTGGTCTAAAAGGTGACACAACTTGGTAAGTATAGAGCTTGTTATGGGCAACCGAACATATACTGTACAGCCTTGCTGTCTCTTCACAGCACCTACTATGGTATGCAGCCTTGTCAGGTTGCCCAGAGTCCAAGGGTTCGGCACTCCCGCTTTGAGATACATAAACCTCACACCGCATAGGTATGTCTTTATTGTTGCATACCTGAGGTTTTGATGTTTATGACAGTGTGCCACGAATCTGAGTAGCAATTCTTCCGATATGGGAGGAAGTGATGAACTCCATATACTGCTACATGTTGCGATGAAGAGGGCATAGGCCTTGAACCCTGCTTGGTAGACTTCATATGTACGATGGGAGACTGCTGATGCCCACAGGTTGTCTAACTCGTTGTCTGCCATGCTGTAGTTGGTAGTGTTCTCGGAACATCAATTCTTCCATAGGAGGACACGCAGTTGGGTGGCGACATGCTTGAGGAGCTAGGCGTCTGAATCTGGCTATCTGTAATCGAGACAAAGCATCACTGATATGGTTGTGTTTCCCTGGGACATGCCTCGCGCTGCACATGAAATTGAATTTAGCTGAGGTGAGCGTTAACTTCCTCAGGAACCTCATGATACCCGGAGATTTGGATCTGCCCTTATTGATGATGTCCACTGTGGCTTTGTTATCACAATAAAATCTAACTGATTTCTCAGCCCATTCTTTTCCCCAGACCTCTGCTGCCATAACAATCGGGTATAACTCCATCAGGGCTATAGACATGTCGTCTGCTACCAGTGTGAACAGACGCCCAGGCCACTTAGAGGCAAACCACTTTCGCTGATAATATGCGCCATAACCTATGGCTCCTGCTGCGTCTGTGTATAGCAGGAAGTCTGGAGCATCGATCCTGTCAGCTGTGAAAAGGGACACTCCATTCCATTGTTCGAGGAAACAAATCCACATGGTGAAGTCGAATCGACATTCTTGATTTAACTGTACCCTGTTCTTTAGGTCTGGAACTGAATGTGCCAATTGCAGAAGGTAGCCGATAAAGGTACGTCCTGGTTTCACCACTTGCATTGCGAAGTTCATGTGTCCCAGTACTACCAGCAAGTCTCGTTTGGTGACTTCACTCTGTTGTAGTAAGGAGTGGATGATGGTCGTCAATCTGTCTATCTTCTCCATGGGCAGTCTAGCTTCCATCTTGATGGAGTCTAGGGTGATACCGAGGTACACCAAGCAAGTCGTGGGGCCAACTGTTTTTGGTTGAGAGAGAGGGATGCCTAGGTCACCAAACATTTTCAAAAGAGACGACATGGTTCTTTGTCCTTGTTCCAAAGTCTTATTGAAGCAGATAAAGTCATCTAGCAGGTGTAATATATAGTCGATATGATAACACTGTTTGGCTATCCAACACACTGCTGCAGCGAGGGTATCAAAGATTTTGGGACTGGATCTGCAGCCAAACACCAATCGTGTGTAGTAAAAATATTCTCCTTGCCATTTGATACCGTGCAGATGCCACAATGAGGGGTGAATTGGGATAAGTTTGAAGGCATCTGTAACATCCGTTTTGCACATGAATGTTCCTCTACCTAGCTGTCTAATGCATGATATGGCATCATCGACTTTAACGTACTTCAAGGAATATTCTTCTTTATCAATCAAAGAGTTGAGACTTGGATTACCTTGGTCTTCATGTGGAGCTGACATATCTACTATAAGTCGTAATTTTTTTGAATATTTGCCCTCAACCAATCCTATGGGACTAACTCGCTGCAGAGGAAAGGGACTTGTGTGGAATGGACCCATAAGGTAACCTTTGTCCTTCTCTTCATGTATCAGTTTCGTCACCATTTTTACGTTGAGGGGTCCTCGGGTTGATAGCAAGTTTCGACATACTCGTGTGACGGTTGGTGGGTTCTTAATTCCTGTGTAGAAACCTTCTTGGAAGCCGAGGATGAGATATGCTGTCATGTTTTGGTCTGGATGCTTGGCTAAAGAAGCTCTCAGTGTCTCAATATTAACAGGAGATGGTCTGGCTTCAAGTCATTTGTCCGACTTCCCATTCTTGGACGTCTTGTCTGTGCGACATTGAAATTTCGGATGGGTCCTCTTGCATATTAAGCACACGTGCATGAACCTGAAATGTTGATGGCTGCATCCTCTGTCATTGTAATTATTGCAGATGGATTGTCCCTGATGGAAGATGATGGCTCGTCCATGGGCGTCTGTACCGTCGAAATTGTTCGTCCGTATCTGCTGCGGCTTCCTGGGTACCAGGGATGATTTCAGTTGGTCATTAAGTGACAACGGGCAGAATGCTGATGTGTGATTTAATTCGCCGCACCACTGGCATGCATTGGCTTTCCTGGACGTAAAAATCTTTATATAGAGTTCTCTGTCCAGTCTGCCCCAGTATACTGGTCGATTTAATAGTTCAATGGCTGCTGCCGCTTGTGCAGAGAACATCTTGTGGTAAGTGTAGAACGCATTGTCGTCCGTCTCGTTACTTAGTCCAATAATGATGCCTTGATATTCGTCCAACTCTGCTGACCTGTTGGGGAATTTCTCCAACATTATCTTTTTGAACCTTTCAAATGCTTTGAGGAAGTCTCTGATACCCAACACTTTCTGAAGTCTCTTGTCATTGGTAGTTTTGAGATGTAATTGACCATCGCCTATCTGAATGCTACGTGGGCCACAATGAACATCATCCGGAATTAGTAACAGAGCCAAATTAATGTCCCTACCCTCGTGAATCTGTTGCCTGAGATGTGCAGACGCTGTCTCCAGTCTTGGCAGTGTGTTGGGGTCCAGTGGTTGCGTAGCGGTGGCGGCATGGTTGGCAATTGCAGTTGACAGGGTGAATTTCCCGTTTATTCTAATTTCATCTCTGGCGGTTGATTGCTGCGGCAGAATGGAGGGACTTGTCGTTGTGTCGGTGGCGGAAGGTGACGACTGAGTATGGTGAGGCAGCAAAACTCTTGTGATAGTTTCCACTGACTGTTGAAGCGCTTGAACAGTCGCGACTAAACTCTGCAAGTCAGGCTGTGTGGGCGCCGCCATGACACTTGGTGACGTCATAGGCGGAGTCGTTCTCGGTGCTTCGTTTGGAATTTCGTTAGGTTCTCCGACATCGCGAATATCCACTGAATTAGGAATGTTTCGAAACTCTTGTCTGACTTGGCTTGTAGCTGAAGTCCGGGAGGCAGGTAGTGGCCGTATGTTCGCTGGCACATTCTTTGAGTAGAACTGAATGAGTTGACCTCGTGACATAGAATTTGGCAGGTGTAAAATTCCGATGTCCCTGGCGATGCGCTCTCGGAGTTCTGCAACGTACCAGTTGGAAGGGTCGTGAGAATGTTCGGTAGCCGCCGAGTCTGGATTAATTGACTGGTATCTCCTGCGGACGTTCGAAGAATTAGACCGAAGTCGTGTCGATACGGCCAGTCGGCCATCTTGGTTGTTTACATCGATGGCAGCTTCGCAAGTCGAATTACGTTTTCGACGAGGGGCCATAGTACTGTTACGAGACGTTACTGTATGTGACGGTTACTTTGTTACTGCGTAGGTACTTCGTTGAGAAACCGGAAATATGGCATAAAGTTCAGTCAAGATCCGACCATTACGAAACGCGCTTGATTGAACCATGTGTTGTGAGCTGAACAAAGGAATTGCTGACAGCTGACTGCGCATGCGCTAAGGCATGATTAAGTTTGGGCGTGTGAGAGAAACGGAATATGATTGTGAATTGCTCGGGTTCCCAAGCCGACTTAACTACAAATAAACACCCATTGGAGTATATTACCTGATGCCTAACAGTCACATCTGTATAGCACAGGTTAGCTTGTTGAATTAAACATTCGTAATGGACAATAAAAATTATAGAAAATTATCATATGGTATGGTGCATGTAATGCATAACATTCGATGACGTAACCCTTGCTATTGCCATTATAAACTCAACTCAATACCTGAGTAATAAATTAAGGTGAATACCGATGTGCACGTGTGACAACGCACGTGGCCTGTTATTGTTAGTATTGGAAACACAAACGCGAACCAAATCATATGTCAGGGAGACACCTATTTCCTCATAGTTGAAATTTGAAGGATACGCCATTATAACTGTTCTTATCACTAATTCCTTTATTCATTCAATGACATTTAATGGTAAATAAATTGAATTCCCTTCAGCAAGAAAGTATGATCAATGGCAGGTCTTTTTGAAGCATGTTCATTTGCAGATTTGTTATAATAACTGAAAGCAATTCACATGATCTATGAATACCTGCAGTAAAAGAGTGAAAGTAATAGCGCTCATCGGGTCCACAGAGCACTACATTTCAACAGAAAAGGCTACTGATACATCAGCGACAAGTTGCATCTTAATGGGTATTGACATCCGTTGTATATATAATATTTATTTACAGGGACGCCGTCAAGCACACTTGACCAAAATATAACACCAGGGACGCCAAACGACATCGACATAATTGAAGTAGATGAACCCGTCGTCTTAGTCATCGGGACCGTCACCGTCACCGTCACCATCATCATCATCGTCACCTATGTCTGCTTCAAAAGAAGGACCATACAGCAGAAAGCACCACCAGTGTTGGAATGCCCCGACCCGCCGTACATGGAGTTAAGGGAACCCCTTCATAACACGTACGACAGCGTGGAGGATCTCGGGGCACAGGGGTCAGGATCCAAGAAGGACACTTCACCACCTTGTACAGAAGCGCCTGCAGACACAGGGAACTATGCAGCCGTTGGCGACACCAGTGTCCCAGACACTAAAACAAGGAATGACCCGCCTGTATTGAGGGACGCGGGGGGATATTCAACTGTTGCTGACAGACGTGTTACGGACAAAGGCACACAGGGAGATGTCACAGCTAAATCTTTAGACACGGACTACTATAAAACTGTTGAGGATCAAAATGCAGCAGCACTTAGTGTAATGCAAGGAGACCTACCTCTCCCAATTGAGGCTGCAGGATATTTAACTGTCGCTTACAGACAAGCTGCAGAAACTAACCCACAGAGAGAAGACACAGCTAACCCTTTAGACACGGGCTACTATGAAATTGTTGAGGACCAAAGTGCAGCAGCACTTAGTGTAATGCAAGAAGACCTACCTCTCCCAATTGACGCTGCAGGATATTTAACTGTCGCTTACAGACAAGCTGCAGAAACTAGCCCACAGAGAGAAGATACAGCTAACCCTTTAGACACGGACTACTATGAAATAGTTGAGGACCAAAGTGCAGCAGCACCTAGTGTAATACAAGGGGACCTACCTGTCCCAATTGACGCTGCAGGATATTTAACTGTCGCTTACAGACAAGCTGCAGAAACTAGCCCACAGAGAGAAGACACAGCTAACAGTTTAGACACGGACTACTATGAAATAGTTGAGGACCAAAGTGCAGCAGCACCTAGTGTAATGCAAGGAGACCTACCTGTCCCAATTGACGATGCAGGATATTTAACTGTTGCTTACAGACAAGCTGCAGAAACTAGCCCACAGAGGGAAGACACAGCTAACCCTTTAGATACGGACTACTATGAAATTGTTGAGGGCCAAAGTGCACCAGCACCTAGTGTAATGCAAGGAGACCTACCTCTCCCAATTGATGCTGCAGGATATTCAACTGTTGCTGTCAGACATGCTGCGGACAAATGCAAAGAGGGAGATGACACAGCTAAACCTTTCGACACAGGACTCTATGTAAATGTTGATGTCAAAAGTGATGCACAACCTAATCTCCGACAAGGAGGCCTACCTGCCCTCACTGATGCTGTGGGGTATTCAACAGTTGACGATTTCAAACCATGCCCCGGTGCCGCGTCATTCAGTCACACGGGGAAGCCTGAAAGTGTCCCGAATCAGATAGGACAGAAAACCAACAGACCCCCCTGTGAACTTTATGCAGCTGTTAAAAAAAAGAGGGGCACACCTAGGTTGGCCAGTGCTGATGTAACTACCACCAGTGTTATGTGAAATATACGGCTGACATTGGTTTTAGATGATTTCCATCACTTTGGGTCATCATTAGGATGCAATTTAATAATGACTAACCTGTCCATAAAATTGATTGTTGGAAAAAGTAACTTAGATAGTGTATATAACAGTCAGACGTAATGAACATGAAAATATGTGTTATGTAAATATACTTATCATATAATGAGTAGGTTTCTCGGCAGGATAAAGCCAACGGATAAAAATGATATCCGTTGGGGTCATATGCGGATAGAGATGCAAATATCAAAGGTCAAGTAGGGACTACTTTCACTGTTCATAAACA